AGGAGACTGCCTGGGTCTGCGAAGCTTGGTCGTGTGGGCTTCCCGCAGCAATGGACCGAATTTCTCACGGACATTGGTCAGGCCGATACGTCCGGCAAGCTAGCTGGCTGCCTTTGGGGGCGAGACGATCAGCGCGATAGACGACGAGCTGATTAACCGACATGATGTGATGGGGCCTGAAAGGGCACAGGATTCCGAACTACGATCGGACGCAGCAGCCCATGAGTCTGGCCAGCAAAGAGGCTGCGTGAACGTCCTGGGTCCGACAGATTCCTGGGCGGATCCCGATGGGCTCACCGTTTGACGAACACTCCCATCCTACAGAACTTTCTGAGCGAGGAGCACAGGGTTCAGCCGTTTGAGCTTGCCGACGACACCCGCACGGAACGGGCCACCGCCTGGACCGCACGGTCGCGTGAGCGCTCCGGGGCTTCAGGTGACGCGTTTGGCCAGGGGCAGCGGAGCAGTGGCCACGCGGGCAAATTGTTCGGACATCATTGCTGCGATTGCAATCTGCTCGTGTCGGTGTTTCCCTGAAGGTGTTCGGTGAGCCGGCTCGGAGAGCGCCACTGAGCTGTTCCATGTTCCCTGTTCCCCGTTCCGTGCCCTCTCTCTGCGCACAGAAGGACGCCCCGCAAGGTCGAAGCTTCGGAGCGCGCCGATGAACACAGCAGGGTCCTGTGCGCCTCTAGCGCCCGCCCCCCTCGGACCACCCAGCGCCTCGCCGAAAGAGTCCCTGTGGGGCCGCACCCAGAGGCCGAACACGCCCTGCCCAGCGCCCCCCCGCAGAGGCCTGGACCCGCGGCCGTGCCCAGAGGCCGACACCGCGCGGAACCGCGCCCCGAGGCCGACACCCCTGCGCAGAACACTCCCCCCACAGGGGCGGCATACGCCGTATACGCCTCGACGTGGAAGCAGCGCTGGGGCCGTACCTTGAGGCCGACACCCCAAGCGCAGCCTCAAAGAGAGGGCTGCACGGCGCTGCCCTGGCCCGGAGCTGCTCGACGACCAGGCGCAGCTGGTCCAGCAGGGTCGCGGCCCGCGGCCCAGAGCAGCCCCTCGCGGGAGCCAGGCCCCACGCCGAGCCGCAAGAGGAGGCTCGTGCGCTCCGCCATCTCCCTGCACTCTTTGGCCTTCAGCGGGGCCGCGGCCCCCGCAGCAGCAGTCGCGGGCGCCAGGGCGGACACCTCCTCCGCGGGCGGCGCCGCCGGCAGCTCGGGCGTGTCCACCGCCGTGGCATCCCGCTGCGTCGGCAGCAGGGGCCCAGCCCCACGAGCCCAGGAGTCGTCGAGGCTCTTCTCGGAGCCAGACCACGTGAGCCCGCCGCCTCCCGCGCCCAGCACCAGCGGGAGGGCAGCAGGAGCCGCCTGCCCAGCAACAGCAGCCACACCGGCGGCACCTCGTCGTCGAAGCGCGAGGCGCTGACAGCGGGGCCGCCGCCGCACCAGCTTGGCCGCCGAAGCGGCCGCGGGCGGATCAGCGGCTTTTTCGGGAGGGGCGCCAGCAGCCGGGGCCAGTGGCGGCAGGCGGCGACGGCGACGCGCGCGCCGAAAGCACCGCCGCGGCCGTCGCACGGGCCACCTTCAGCCACCGTGCGCCTGGCGCCCTTCGCCAGGATCCTCCGCCTCCGCCTCCGCCTCCGCCTCCTCCTCCTCCTCCTCCTCCTCCTCCTCCTCCTCCTCCTCCTCCTCCTCCTCCTCCTCCTCCTTCTCCTCCTGTCTCCCCCTCCGCCTCCCCCCTCCCTGCTCACCCCTCGGCCCTGGAGCCAGCTCCCTGACGTTTGCCGACGTCTGCCGGGGGCCTCCGTCACCCACCGGGCGGCCTCGGAGGCCGCAGAGGGCTGGAAGGGAGAGCGCTAGTATTATGATATTCCTTGGCAGCTAAAGAAGAAAAACTAGCTACTGCCGACGGTAACTATGATCAATCGAAATTTCATGTTGGGCCCGCTTCCCAAAGCTTGCATCAAGCAAGCCTGGGCAAATTTCTGTTCTTAACGCTGGAGGGGCAAACATGCCCAAGAAACTGGGCCAACTTTCTCGCAAGTTCGTTAAGAAACGCTGGCCCTGCTCTTCGGGGGGATGTTTCTTGATCATATGCTCGACTGTACACAAACAGAAGTTTTCGGGGCTCCGCGCCGATGTCTTGGATCGGCGATGAAACCCCCCCTGGGCGCGCCGCCAGGGGCCCCAAACTACCGATTCAAGAAACCCGCGTGGAGTTCCGATATGCTGATGCGATTTTCCGTGAGTCGAAATAAGGGTTCCAGCCCAAGGGTTTCGTTATCCGTCGGGCCTTTGGCCCTAAACCAGGCGGGTGTCTGGAAAGGGCCCGCGGTCTGCTTCACGGGTGAAGATGAGTGTGCAGAGGGGGGATGGTCGAAAATACGTCTGGCGCGTGCGCATTTGGCAGGTGTTTTCGCGTGTGCAGGCGCCGAGGGGCATCGAACCGGGGGGCGCCACATTCTTCACTCGCACCAGCACCTGTGAGGGGCGGTATCCAACGTGCGTCTGGCGCGTGCGCACTCGGAACGTGGCTTCATGTTCGTTTGGACTCCACGCCCTCTCCGCCAGACTCTCAGCACTGTGCAGGCGCCAGAAGGGGGGCACCGATCACGGGGGCGCCAGACTCCCCACACTTTTGGCAGTGCGCGGGACGGGCAGGGGGCGCCGGGCCGCGACGTGTCCTGGGGGGACGGAGCCGATTGGCAAGACCGCGCAGTCAGAGCCCAAGAGCGATGTGCAGGTTGCCCGCGTAGCTCGGGAGCAGAAGCGCAGAAAGGGGCGAGGATCGGTCGCTGGGCCAGGGAACCAACGACACCACACCACCTGCGGCCCCACGGGACTTGGCGTGTACCAGCAAATCTGGTGCGGGCTTCTGCGTGGTATACGCTACGGCCCCCGAGGGCCCGTAGCGCAACATGGAGGGCCATAGGTGGGGTGGTGTCGTTTGTTTTTGGCCGAGTCGCAGCGAACTGATCGAGGTAAGTGGCCGAGGGGGAAAGAGTCCGCTGACCCCCGCCCTTGGGGAAGGCAGGAAGCACGAGACGCTGCGCTGTACATCCGGGCCGCTTTCCACACCAGGGGCTCCCTCGGCGGCGACAACAAGGGCGAATAGCCCAGTGGCGGACATTGCACGTGCTCGCACGGGAGCCTCGCCGAAGGCATGGATCATCGGCGCCCCTGGATGCACGTATTGCTCTCCCCTGGGCTATTCGCCCCTATCGTCGCCTCTGAGCCCCCGTCGGGGGGGGTGGGGGCGCAGGGGTGGTGGGGCCAGAGGTTGGCTTCGAAGAAAACTCGCCCTGGACCGCCCCCTGGAGCCCTGGGCTATTCGCCCCAGTCGTCGCCTCTGAGCCCCCCTGTCGGGGGGGGGGCGGCGCAGAGGTGGGGTGGGGCCAGCGGTGGGCTTCGAAGGAAGCTCGCCCTGGACAGCCCCCTATATGTAGGACCTACCTATATGTATGACAGAAGAGCACCCTTCCGGAGCAGGAGACCCTGCGCCGGCCCCTCCCCTCCCCCCCCCCCCCCCCCCACACACACACACACACACACGCACACACACACGCACACACACACACACACAGAACATCCGAGGGTGCCCTCCGCAGGATGCACACATCCCACAAGCACGAAGAACACGAGGGCACCCTCCCCGAAGTGACCTCGATCTCATACCTCGGTCCGGCCGCATGGCAGGTCGCGACGCGACGGCCCCAGCGTTGGTCTCTGACACCGCGCGGGTCGCTCAACCTTGGACGGTCGGCGGTTGCTCGATGGTCTGATCAGACGTGTGGCAGCCACGCCCCGAGTGCAGCCAGTGGAAGGCCAGCACCAATGCTACCGATCATCCATTCCGCACACCACTCTTACATCCCTCCTTCCCCCTCCCCCTCCTCTCTTCCACCTGGTCCGCATTCTCCCCTCATCATCTTCATCATTCATGTTGCTCCTCCTCATCCTCCTCGTCCTCCTCCTCCTCTCCTCCTGCTCCTCCTCCTCATCCGCCTCCTCCTCCCCTTCCGCCTCTCCCTTTACCTCACCTCGTGTCCCGACCTGAAGCGAAGTACTCCCAGCCTTCCTGAAGGCACACTGCCTCGAGCATTAATGGCATGCACCCGCTACAAAGCATCATGCAAGAGCAGGTGTAAGAAGCCACACGAACGCTTAGCCACGCGTGCTGCTCTTCTCGCTGCCACGAGGCTCCCAGGCGAGCGCTAGCGGGGGACGGCAACTCAACGCAGCCCGCCCCGCCCCATCCCCGCCGAACGTTCACGGCAATCGGTAAATATACCGCTTCTGCCTCACACTCGAAATCGGCACCCGGGAATCCGAGGTGGCCGCCTGCTTCCTGGGCTACGGTGGGGGCATTGGATAAGGAATCCAGGGTCTGGAAGCTGGTGGAACACCAATCGTGGATTAGCCATGCATATCACCGCCGCCCTCATCAGACAAGGACCCCCCCAGGGCCTTCAGCCTCCTGCGCGCATTCCTTAACCAACGCCCCCACCCTAGCCATGGTGAGGGCATTGGGTAAGGAATCCAGGGTCTGGAAGCTGGTGGAACGCCAATCGTGGATTGGCCCTGGATAACACTGCCGCCCTCAGCAGATAGGGAATTCCCCAGGGTCTGCAGCCTCCTGGGCCCACTTCTCAACCGACGCCCCCACCGTAGCCCTGAGCACCGGCAGACGGCAAACTCCTCGCCCGCAACCAACGTGATGCGCGGGGCCCTGTGAGCGACTGGGCGGGCCAGGGCGCCGAGGGCGGCGCCAGCAGATTGACGGCAACCGCACCGATCGCAGACGGACCGCTGGGGTGGGAGGCAGAAGGGCGAGGTCAAGACGAGGACGAATCCGGGTCAGCAGAACAATCTAGAATCTCTGAGGTCAGGGCGGCTCCGGAGGACGTCTCGGGCGCCCCCACCCTTCTCAGGGCGCTCCGGACCGCTCTGAGCGACGGCCGGGGAACGCTTTGGAACGGACTATCCTCGTCCCAGCCCCGCCCGAAGGCAGCCAGGCCCGGTGCCCAGTCGGCCGGGATTGGAGGTCTCTGGATGTCGTAGTTCTGCAGCTTGCGCATCCTGATCTCCCAGGCGCGTGGCTCCCCGTCCTGGTGGCAGCGCCCAAGGGGAAGTGCATTTTTTCCTGGCAGAGCGCGATGACTCCAGCCAAACCAGTTGCGGCACAGCCGGCGTTAAACTGTTAAAGCAGTTTGCGCCCAAACAGGCGTTAAAGCTGTTAAAGCAGCTTGCGCCCACTTCTACCTCAACATGCTGGTGCTACATATCCCCCGAAATGTCAGCGCGCAAGAGACACCGCGAGACTGTAACGCCCACGCGGCCGGGACAGGCAAGCGCTACCCGTGACAATTATTGCCCGGGCATGTGTCCAAGACTGGCGTGACAATGTTAAACGTCGCATGGCAACACGTTCTGATATTCGCACACAGATGTCCAGGAGGAGGAGGAAGAGGAGGGAGCGCGGACGAGAAGGAGAAGGACGAGGAGAAGGGTGAACACACTCTAACAGAAACTCGCGCGTGCGTAGGCCGACCCAGGTAGACGGCACCCGCACAGTAACCCTCGCGAGCACGAGCAATGCAAAGGGGGAGGAAGGAAGAAGGGGAGGAGGAAGGAGAAGGGAGGAGGGAGGAAACCGAATTCGCCAGTGGTGCAATCAGATATCAGCCTGGGTGACCCCAGCAAGGCCGGCCCGAGTCCTACCACGTCAGGGCGGGACGCGGCAGAGTGGACAATATCGGCGCCGCGGGGAGCAACTGGCACTGACGTGAGCTGCTACATCTGTGGGCGCCCGTATGATGAGGGCGGCGAGTACACGCTCCCATTCGAATGCTGATTGCATTCAGCGCAGATCTGGTTCCCCCGGAGAAGCAGCCTTTCAACTTGTCAAAGGCGCCAGAAATCGTGCAACAGCTGTCTATACGCAGCTTGAGTTGCACAATCACATGATGGATGTGCAAGAAACATAACATCGATCAAATCAATGTCAAAGTATCCGCGCTGAGGCGAGTCAGCACACATTTCACTTAGACACCTCAAGGCGGCTTTGGTAATTTGGCCTTCGCGTCTTCAATGCCGATTTCCTCTGTGTCAGATGGTTTGACGTTGCTCGTGTCCAGAGCGACGGTTTCGTGCCTCCCGGGCAACAGCATAGAAGCACCCACGAGCAACATTTGAAGACATATGTCCAGCCTCTTCTCCAAGAGGAACTTGCCTATCGGAAGGTATTATGCCCGAACTTGTGGCTTTGAGCTCTACGACGTTCCGGTTGTGATCCTCTGCAGACGGCCCAGCGCGCACGGTCAAGCCTGCCCCCCCCCCCCATGGCAACCCAGTCGCAAGTTGAGTTGCCCCCTCTTGGCGCGAGGGGGAGCCAGCGGCAGAGACCCCGCACGTCAGCAGCCCACGCCCTCCGCCCCCCCTCCCCGCAAGGGCCACCAGGGCCACGCGCTGCAAGAGGCCAAGGGCCACGGGCGCCATGTCGAGAGTTGTCGCGCACACCCCACGAGGGGAGGGGGAGGGCGTATCCGCGGCCTCGCGGGACGGGCCCCTGGGCCGCGACCCCGCGGACACGGGGGGCGCTTGATTCGCGGATGCCCCGCGCGGAACGTGCCCGTGCGACCGCGCATCCGCGGGACCGCGCCCTAGAATCCGGACCGCGAGGGCGCGGATACGAGAACACGTCGTTCATGTCTAATCGCGATCCTTTCTAATTGCGTTCGTTTCTGATTGTTCCTGGCCCCCTAGGCCCTAGTGGCCAGGAAAGGGCCCAGGATATAACAATTAGGAATGAAAGGATCTTGGCCCCCCCGAAAATCAGAGAACTTTCGAAGAATTGGACACGAACAGTGTGTAATTATGTTCGCCGCTTGTGAAGGGGGGGGCGCGGGCGGGGGGCGAGGAGGCCCCGGGCCACGACTCGCCGACTCGAAGCTCCGGACCGCGGCCCCGACAGCAGGGGTGCACGACCGAGCCGTGGGGGCCACGGGGCGGCCGCGCCGCGGGTCACCCTGACGGAACAGAGAGGGCGCCTCGACGGAGCACATTGGCCCTCCGGCGGGGGGGGGCGGACCGATCCCCCAGCGGGGGGGGAGGGAAGAAGCCTGTCCCCCAGCAGGAGAGGGTCCCTCAGCTCGAGGACGAGCAGAACCGCACAAAAATAATCGACTACACGTAGGAGTGACCCTGGGCTACAGTGACCTTTGGTGCGCGGTTTCAGGGTCGCCCATGGGGACCCAACGCAATCGCGCAAGCCGGCGCTGCCGCGCCGCATCAACGATCGGCGGGACGCCACCCGAAAGATTTGTTGTTCCAGCGGGCAACCGCGGAATTCCGCCGGCTGAATTCGAGCGCCCCGAATGGCACTTCGAAGGCGCTGCGAAGGCAAACGCTGCCGGGGGCCACCGCGAGGAGGTCTGGCACTGCCGGGCTGCATCGCGACGACGTCTGACTAGGCCCGGCGTCACGGCCCAAAAAGGCCCCATCCGAGAGCCTGGGATATGTTTGATTGCCTTCGGACAACTTATAACCAAGATATCCAAAGGTATTCAGCAATATTCAAAGATACCCAAAAATATCCCAATATATTTAAGCCAGACGTTTTCGGATTGGGCTGGGATTCGGGATTGGTCCTAGGCCGGAAAACGCGCCGTCTGGTCGACCGGCTCCCCCCTGGGTAGCCAATGCAAGCTGTAGGGTGCGACGCGTATGCGTTGCTCTGGATTGCAAGGGGGGCGCCCGAACCTGGCGCGCTCAGATGCGAGCGTAATCGCGCGATGCGGGTGCCGACGCGAGGTCGAACTCAATCCAAAAGAAAAATCACCCGACCCCGTTTGGGCCAGCGCCACAGATCACTCCAGCGAAGGGTCCCTCTTACGTGTAGTCGAAATAAATGTTCCTTACTATCATGGTTGACTGTACTTACGGACCACATCCAATAAACAATTTCGAGCACCCAGAAAAGTATCGAATCAGTGTCGAACGAGCATCGCCTCCCAGGCCCCGACGTGTGAAAACCCTTCAGACTCGATGTTTTCTTGGTGCTCAAAATTCTTTCTGGTGGTCAAGGCCAAAGTAGGCTGGAACGGCATAAGCCGAGCCGAGATCCGATCGCGGCAAGTCGGTCCCTCGCAGCGTGCGACGATGCGCCGTCTTTTGCGCACCTCGTGAAGATCGAGACGTGACCGCTTAGCGCGGCACGTCAGCCAGTGCTCGCAGGACGAAAAGCTGCATACGGTTGGGAACGCTCGCTCAGCGTATCGCGGCCGCGGCCCTGGCGACACGTGTGCCATGCTTGGTGATAGCGTGTCGCTCTGCTCCGCGGGACGGGAGGCTCGGACAGGCTCGGGACGTTGACGCTTGGTGACCGCGAAACGGATGGCGTGTCGAGCCGAGGCGTAGTGGGCCAGGAACCGGTGGAGCGACACGCTGTCCAAGGGTTCCTGACCGCAGACACAAACGTTCGGAGGTCCGCTGGATGGCGTGTCGAGCCGAAGCGCAGTGGGCCAGGAACCCGTGGAGCGACACGCTGTCCGAAGGGCTCCTGACCGCAGACGAACAAACGTTCGGAGGTCCGCGGGGAGCTCCTGGATCGGAGCTGGGCCCCCCGCGCCAGCCCGGGGACAGGGGCCCGGTGCCGATCCAATCCATCCGCGCGGGCCTCCGAAGGTGTTTATGTGTTTTGTGCTTCCTCTTCGGAAACGCGGCGAGACAGCTAACGTGGCCTCCCGAGCACAGAAGGCGAGGAGGGCACGGAAGGCACGTTCACAGATCCAATACATCCGCGCGGGCCTCCGAAGGTGTTCATGTTTTGTGCTTCCTCCTCGAAAATGCGGCGAGTCAGCTAACGTGGTCTCTTGAGCGCAGAGGGCGACGAGGGCACGGAAGGCACGCTCACAGATCGCCCGCCGACTGGCCAGAGCGGCTCCTTGCCGGGCAGGGGCTCGGACTCGTGCATGGCGCGGTCGGAGGCCATGATGGGTGCGTCCTGCAGGTCCTGTGGGCGGCGGGCAGCAGTGCGATCTGGACCACCTGACTTCGCGCATCGCGCCCGGCGATGCGCGACGCGCGATGATCTCAGGGCCCTCGCGCCGCCCCCATGGAGAAGGGCGATCGCTCTGGCGAGATCTGGCTCCGTCAGCGACGCGCGATGATCTTGGCACCGCCGCGGGTGACCTCGGCCATGGTCAGCAAGCCATCCTGTGGCCATTTTGTGCAGTTCATAGTCCGCATACCTGAAGGATGCGTTGCCATGGTCAACAGGTCTCCTGTGGCCATGATGGCATCGGATGCAGGCAATCCACACGTGAGGGGGCCCCCAAGCATTCCGCTGCTCAGACCCTGGGTCCCGCAGTCTAGCATGTCCTTCCCCCTGATGAGAGGGAGCAGGATGAGGATGAGGAGGACGAGAAGCAGGAAAGAAGGGGGAGGGGGATGAAGAGGTGAAGAAGTCCTGCGCCTTCAGTGAGCGAGGTTATATTTCTACTACGTCACCTCCTCCTCCTCCTCCTCCTCCTCCTCCTCCTCATCTTATTCCATCTCCACGTCCCCTTGGCTTCCTCCACTTCCGTCCCTCCGAATGACCCAGAACCTCGAACACACTTGAAGGTTCAAACAGCTCCACCTCCAGCTTCACGCAAGAAGGCGACTACCGAGGGCCTGGAGATGCTGCTGCGCGTGCTCGGCGAGTCGGTCCTGAAGGAGAGACCTGTTCGCGCGGCGGAGCTCTTCGACGGCGCGCTCTACGACAAGTCCGTGTGGAGAGGCTCTGGCGAGAGCATGCAGGAGTACATCACGAGACGGACCAAGGCGTTCGACGACCTCAAGAAGGTCTCGCAGGAGACCAGCATCTCGGACGTCCTTCAGGCCTACCTGCTGCTGAAGTTCAGCGGGTTCGACAAGTCGGACCACGCCAGCATCATCAGCAGCGCGGGCAACAAGTACGACAAGGAGGCGTTCGCCAAGGCGCTGCGAATGCAGCATTCGGGCATCCACGAGCGGGAGCGGCACTACCGGAAGGATGGCAAGCAGGAGGCGCACCGCTCGGACCCGAAGCCGCAGAGGTTCCAGCAGGGCCAGTACAGGCAGCGGCAGGCGTGGCAGGCCGAGCGCGACGACGAGCACGAGCACTACGACGACAACGACCACCAGCTCGACAACTCCTACGACGACCAGCCCCTGGAAGAAGAGGTCTACCTGGGCGAGGAGGAGGCCACTCTCGAGGATATCGATGAGATGGACCCGGAGGCGGCGGAGAGCTTTGCAGCGATCGTCCAGAACAAGCCGAGGTTCCAGGCGCGTGGCGGCGGTCGCGGGAAGGGAGGTCGAGGACGTAAGGGCGGAGGTCGCGGCGAAGGCAGTTCGAGCTCGAGGGATCGAGCCAGAGGTGGAAGCGCTCCCGGTGACAGCGGTGAGCGGCGCGCTAGGATCGAGAAGCTGAAGCGGACTACGAGGTGCGCCAGCTGCGGGCAGATCGGACACTGGCACGGGGACCCAGGCTGCCCGAAGTCATCGAGATCGGCGGCACCACCATCGGACAGGCCGAAGAACAGCGACTTCAGCTTCAGCGACTTCAAGGGCGACGGCTCCAAGACCAGCGAGGTCAGGATCGCGGAGGTGTTCGTGGCGTCGGCGGCTTCGCCATCACCTACCGGGCTCGGCGCCCGCCCTAACCCCAAGCTAAGGTCACGCGGCAGCCCTCAAGGAGGTAAGGGAGGTGACGAGACCCTCAAGGCCAGCGCGGACGACGGAGACGGAGCTGCAGGACTTCCGAGGAGGCGAGGCCAGTCACTTCCAGTCATGGCGGAGCCCTGCGAGCACGCGCTGGCGGCGGACCCCAGACTGTTCAAGGGCGCGAACGGGACGCACAGGTACCTCACTTGCCACAAGTGCCTGCCCAACCGGCTCGGCATCCACGTGGCCAAGGCCCACAGGTCTAGCGGCGAGGAGCTCTGGAAGTACCTCATGGTCTCCCTACTGTTCACCCCGAAGGGCAGGGCCATCTACCCGCGCACGGCCCCTGCGAAGACGATGCCAGCCGAGAGAGTCTTCAAGGTGTCCCAGAGCATCCCCAAGTCCAAGGAGCTGGCGCCAGAGCTGATGACCAAGCGCGCGGTGGAGGTGAAGGTTCCGTCTGACGACGAGGAGCTTGATCGCATCCCGAGGGCCGAGGACTACCCGCACGAGCTGGACAAGCCTGAGGCGGAGGACAACGTGTACGTGGCGTACCCTGCGGACTTCGACCAGGACGTCAAGGGCATCGATACCGAGCAGGTACCACTCGGCGGTGAGAGGATCATGGCCGGCAAGTACAGGGGCTACACGTTCTCCGAGTTCGTGGACGGCGGTGCCGCTGCGCGCGCGTACGGCAACGCTCTCATCAGGCACGCGATGTCCAGCGAGTTGACTCGGCTCACCGTCGACCAGTACCGCTTGGCTTGGTTCCTCATCTACCTGATGGCGCTGGGCGAGTGGGACCCCCCCTCTCAGCATGAGGACGGGTCGTTCCAGGTGCTGATGGTCAACGGCTCCAAGGACGACGTCGAGGTCTACGGCTCCAGCTTCAAGGACCCGCCTGGCACCGCCGTGCTTGACACAGCCTGCCAGATGACCATGCACGGCACGCCCTGCAGGGTCAGGTACGAGAAGGAGCTACTCGACCGGAAGCTCAAGCCGATTCCCAGGTCCCAGCAGACCAAGTTCCGTGGGGTCGGCGGCGACGCGTACAGCGATACGGTCTACAACATGCCGGCTGGCATCGCCAACAACCCGTTCGCGATCGAGTCGGCGGAGCTCGACCAGGACGCCCCCCTGCTAATCTCCAAGGACACCCAGTCGAAGCTAGGGACGGTGATCGACGTGGCGAACGCGGTCGCCGACTTCACCGAGATCGGCGCCTACAACGTGCCCCTATTCAAGACCAGCGGCGGCCACCTGGGCGTCAGCTTGCTGGACTTCCCTGATCCCGAGGTCTTCGGCCCCGAGTTCCAGGCCTACATCGCTGAGGACGGGCTCGACGGCGGCTTCGACATGGTGGAGTACCCGGAGGCGGAGGTCGTGATCCCGACCGCGGAAGTGATGGCGACGGAGACGGTCTCCGAGAACCCCAACGAGATCGACTGGGACGGCGACAAGTCTATCAGGATGGCCAGCTCAAGGCGCGCTAAGAAGATGAAGGCCATGCATGACGACTTGTACACCATCGAGTCCAGGACGCTCGACATCATGACGGGCAGCATCGACAGGAAGCGGAGGCTACCTAGTGGTAAGACCTTGCTGAAGCAGCTCTTCTGCGGCCAGTTCGGCCTCACCCTACTCGCCTCCACCACCTTCGGCGACAAGTGCGGCCAGCCACTGGATATCGAGGACGGCTGGGACGGCGCTACCAGGAAGGGACGCCAAGCGGCACGGAGGCAACTGTTGGAGGAGGACCCCTACGTGACGGTCATCACCATGTCCTGCGGCCCGTGGGGGGAGTGGGGTCGATGCAACTTGTCCAAGGGCGGCGCTGCAGCTGCTACTGTTCAAGAAGCTCGGGAAGCTACGAGGCCACTACTCATGCTCTCGGACCAGATCGTCGCCGACTGGGTGAAGCGCGGGATGCACGTCTTGATGGAGCAGCCCCTCGGGTCGAGTGCCTACTTCGAGCCCGAGATGACGAAGACGCAGGAATTGGTGAAGAAGGGCCTGCTACTGGAGTGCACTCCGCACGGGTGCCAGCTCGGTTACGCCGACGAGGAGACCAAGGACGCGCACTACAAGCCGATGAGGTTCTTGACCACCAGCGTGGCGGTCTATGAGGCCTTGCAGGGCGAGAAGTGCACGAGGGACCACTACCACCTGCCGTTGGAGAACCAGAAGAAGACGAGAGCGGCGGCGAAGTGGCCCGACAAGCTGGACAGGCTGGTACTACACGCCATCGAGCAGCAGATCGACCTCGACGTCGACACGCACGTGTCCCAGGGTCTCGGTGTACTTGACAGTTTCCCAGTCGAGAACCAGCCTGAGGCCAAGAAGAGAAGGTTGCGTGGCAAGCAACCCCCGAAGCGTCCTCCAGCTGAGGACGGGAGTCAGGGCTTCTGTGAACCCGAACATCCACCTGAGGACGGGCCTGCTACGGATCCTGACGGAGTTCGTGCTGAGCAAACCGCAGGCCTCGAACCAGTGCTCTCCAAGGAGGAGCAGGAGCGCAGAGCGAGGTGGCTCACCTACGACCCCGCGGTCAGGCGCGACATCAGGAACCTGCACGTCAACTTCGGCCACCCGACCAATGTGACTCTGGTGAGGTGCTTGAGGAGGTCTGGTGCCAAGAAGGAGTTCCTGGACTGCGTGTGGGACTTCAGGTGTGACGCCTGTGGCGACATGATCAGGACGAAGCACGTACGCCCGGTTCGCATGCCGGGTCGCTACCAGTTCAATTTCCACGTGATGTTGGACACGCTGTTCGCACACGACGCCGAGGGTAACACCCACGCCTTCCTGAACATAGTCTGCGACGGTACGAGGTTCCAGGTTGTTTGGTACCTCCACAAGGGTACACACGCACCCTCTGCCAAGGTCGCGTTAGACACGTTCCTGACAGTGTGGACTAGCTGGGCTGGACTGCCTCAGTCCATCTTCGTGGACCGCGGCGAGGAGTTCGCTAAAGAGTTCCTGGCCCACATGCATGAGAACGGCGTGGAGATCCAGAACGCGGCCCTGGAGGCGCACGAGCAGCTCGGCAGGATCGAGAGGTTAGGTGGCGTCTGGAAGGAGGTGTGGCATCGCGTGGTGCAGGACGCCCAGACCACGAAGGAGAAGGACCTGAAGAGCGTGTGCGGCGTCGTCAACCAGGTGCGCAATGAGACGGTGATCTACGACGGCTACGCACCCGCCAACTGGGTGCTAGGTACTCGCGGCCTGCGGGTACCAGGTTCGACGCTTCAGGACTCGGAGGCCGAGAAGCTCCAGGTGCAGGAGGCGGCGCTCGACCCGGAGTCGGCCATGGCATCCAACCTG